TCAAAATCGCGCGTTTTCCACGCAAATGAGCAATCTGCCCACCTAAGAGACCGTTCGGATATTAATTTATACACGAATGCTAAGAGATGTTTGCACGAGCGTTACGCCATGTATCTTTCCATCGTTTCTCCAATCTCTTTTGTCGCGATATATTTTTCCCCGAAATATTGTTTATAACACGATTACAAGACAGAGTGTTGTCGTTTAATTCTCAATCTTGAAGATTATCTCGAAAAGAGAAAAATTAGTTTCATATTCGAATAAAGCCAAGCCGCTCTATTCGTCGTCGACCTCGAGCGTTACAACGAGCCAAATGAGGTTCGCTTACAATGCAGTACGTAAAAAACAACCTCTCTTACCAATCTCTCTTGTAATCCTCTTATTATTCAAATTCTTCCTTGTCTCGCTCGAATTTTTCTTCTTACAAGCAATTACTTTCTACTACTAATTCCTGCAAAGAATTTCTCCCTCGCGACAGAGTGTTTCGAAACGAAAGGAAATCCTATCGTGGATGGAACGAGGACCGCAACGGTTTCCAATTATTTATTATCAGAATCGCTGTAACTATCGACGCCTCGTAAACTTCATCCTCCCCCTGTCGTTGCTCCGATTCGAAGAATCGATATCCACCCCCTGCTCCCCCTCGAAGAAATTCTTGTCCCTCGGAGGTGCAATCGAGGGGAGGTAACCTCGTTCCCACTTTCCAATACCGTTCCAGCCTGTGCAGCCTGTTAGCCCGCATTATTCATCCTTCGAATCCAATTGGAACGTATCGATGAGTAGGGAATACCCGCGTCTCCTGGCCAGGACGACGAGGAAAACACGGTGCGTGCCGACATCTGGTCGAAGGTTAGGCAACCCCGGTCAAGGAAAGTTTCGTGGCTCGACCACGAGGTGGCGGAAGCGTGGCTGTTCTCCAACCCCTCCCACGCTCCGTCCCAGCCTGGTGAAAAGCAACCTTTCCGCATTGTTTCCGTCTGCGCGAAAACCGGCGACGTTGGTGGATGTCGTCGACCTCGAAACTCTCCCCCCTCCCTTCCTCCTTCTCCTCCTCCTCCTCTTCCCCTCCCCGATACGAGTTTCGTCGCGTTTCGAGGCCGTGGGCAATTACAGGGGTGGATTAAAGCGGGGCGAGGCCCCCCTCCGTAAATTCAACGTAGCTGTAACTCGTCGCCTAGCGGCGGCCATAAAGAGAAATCGGCTGTACCACGGTTGAGTTACGAGGGTATCGACGCCTGAACGTGTATATACCGGGGCGGCCATAAATATTTATCCGACGCCAGTCAGAAGCGACGGGGCCGTAGGGCCGATAAAAATGATTACCGTCCCCGGTAAAAACCGTCCCCTTTTCCTATCTCTTCGCACAAAGGTAAGGCTCGACCGTAAATCGACGGTTGTTTTATAAATATCATGGACGATGTATCATGGATGTGGCAATTCTAGTCTAGTGTTATTATTCTTATCGGGCGTGAGATGATGCGGATTAGTGAATTTCATGGTTGGAGATTGTTTTTAGTAAATTTTAATTTAGTAATAAGAATAGTTGAGTCATAATTGTCATTTCTGTACAATTAATTATAAATCGATTTCTCTCTCTCGAAAAATGATAGAAAACGACGAACGAAAGTTAATATCTTGGAGTATGGTATTTTCGTTTTTCGGTACGGCAATAGGTGGATCGGTTCTTCATAGTCGGTGTTAAATATCGCTACGTTACATGGGTTGTCCGGCCAAGTTTAAACGCGTAATATGTTCACGTTGTGTATAGTTGCACGATATCGGTGTAGCGCAAAGTGCATCGTGCTATGTCGTCTTTTTGCCTCCTGGCAGCTATGGGCCGCGTTGCTCCTTTTATTAGGATATAGATTCGTGTCAATTGATTTATGGGAACCGGTTCGATTTCGAGGCGAGGCCGTCCAAGATGAACGTATCCCCAGGCGCGATCCGTTATACATCAATTTCACGAGGACCTGAACGATCAGCATTTTAATTTTTATGGAAATTTCCTTGTTGAAATTTCTCTCGCGATATGAACGTAAATACCTCGTCTATGATTCTTCGTACGTGCATTGAAGTTTGAGAAGATGATACGAGAAGAAGAAGAGATAAATAGGAAAATGGTGTCTTAAAAACATTTTTAAATATATATATATATATATATTTTTCTTCTTTTCAGAATAATTTTGAAAAGACACAACTTTCTCTCTTTCGATAATTTTTAGAGAAGAGCAGAAATCATTATGGCTTGAAATCCATAAGAGTATCACGTACTGATCGATCTTCAATGATCCAATTAATTCGTTAATTTCACGATTTTATAAGATGAAAGACAAACAATCGATTGAAAGTAGCGTTACCTTCCCTTTAACCCGACTATTTAGGGGCGAAACGCGATAGAAAATAGGTCGATGCGATCTTATGGAAGTGGTCATACGATGCATTTATTATTGCGCGAGTGGCTTTCGTACGATCGCATCGACCTATTTCCCATCGCGTTTTTACTGCCGTGGCTTCGGTGAAAATTCACCGCCCTGTGTGCTCGGCCCACAGAATCAATGGATCGTTTATAGTACGTGCAGGTGCACCGCGATAATTTTGATATTCCCATTGTTCGTGCTCTACGCGTTTTTCTCCTCGGTCCCGTGCCACCATGACGTGGCATCCGAAAGAATTTCACGATGAATGGAATACTCGAATATTCGTATGGTCCCGTACTATGTGCGCGCATTCTTACGCAAATATAATAATTCGCAAAAAAATTCAGAGGCAAAAAAGAAAAAAAAGAAAAATATTCGATTCTTGAAATTTCATTCGTTTGGAACGAAGAAAAAATTCCATTGTTCCTTTTTTTTTTAGTATTTCACTGCTACTTTCCATGACATTTTTTGCTTTACGTTTTGACGATAATAAATTTTCATTATTGAGGTCTAAAAATATATTGGGATCTCTTGGGAGTATTAATTATTTTTAACGAGGGGAAAGAAACGGGATACAAAGGTGACAGATTAAATAACGCGAGTACAATTACTCCACTTTTTTACTCCCATTATTATTATATACTCGAAGGATATATTCACGCCAAATAATTTTCCAACTTTCCTTTTGATATCAAATTACCGAAACCGTCTTGCGACAATTGCGGATAATTACAACGCGACTCGTAAAGGCATCCAGAAGGTAAAATCCTGGTATAAAAGTGTCATTTTGTCACCGTTCGAGAGAGTGGAAACGATTCAATTTGCTACCTCGTAATACACGATATCTCGTCGCCAGTCCATAAACGCGTTAACAGCTCGTTACCGATCATGCCCACGCGTTTCTTTCGTTTCCTGCTTGCTCGTTTTCACGCCATATTTTCCTCGTTCCTACCGGAACTTTAGGTCAATTGCTCGACCGGACAAGTACAACGTCGTATCGATGCAAGAAATTCTATCAATGGCTATTTTAAATATTAAACGAGTCATCCCATGCCCATATCCTTCACCACGACTGGCGTGACTTTTAACAAGATAAATAACGTGCTCGCTCTTTTTTTTTCCTCTCCACCCACTCGCATCTTGAGAAGAAAGGGATTGAACACGCGCAAAACTGTAGCCATTATCTCTCTCTCCCCTCTTCATCCTCCCCTTTAACCGCCGGGAAAAAAGATAAAACGCGGAAGTTCCGACGTCTTCCGACGGAAGCGACGATCTCTGCCCGCTTTCGAAAGGAACGTTTATCTCCGAGGATGGGAGGCGAGGTTATTTGTGAACAAATAGGAGGATAGGAGTGGCTGTTGATGGTTTATCGTGGAAACGGCGCTGCAATAATTATTCGCCGGGTGGATGTGTCGAGCAAAGCGAATAGGGGATGGGGAGGAAAGTTACGTTTACTTTCAAAGGCGATTAATCTTTTCGCCCTCCAAGGAGACGCGTATGATTTAATTTCTGGATAGGATTGGGGGCCGGGGTCCTCGAACCGTGAGGGCGAGGTTGGACGGAAACTGAAATCGTGTAAAACAGATTCACCGATAAATCTCGACCGAGGCCGGTAAGGGGAGGGGGAGGGGTGGGAGCTTGCGTTCGTTCTGGTCTAATTTGTGGATCGTTCGGTAAAAGGAAGCTACGTCGTCTACAGGGCGGAGAGGGGAGAGAAGAATTTATAGACAGCCTAATACCGAAAACTCACGGTGAATAGTTCAGGAACAGGGCCCGGACGGGGGTGGTGATATATTTTGAAACTGGGCTGGCTCGCGCCAGTGTACCATTGCCCATACGCGGACTGCTATGATAATTTTTCGATTGGTGTAAATCTAGAGGATTTGCTTTGGCAATGAAAAGAAGAGAATGTTAGCGATGGGTTAGTAGGAACTGTTATAAAAATTTGTTAGTAGGAACTGTTATAAAAATATATATATATATATATTTATAATTGTTAATAAGGAATTTCCCATTGCAGGATGGTTTGAAAAGTTTATGTTTTTTATTCTATTGATGGTCTATTTTCTTTTTTTTTAATTATATTATTTCGAGAATAAATTTTGCATAACGAAAAATTTTCCGAATTTAATATTTCATTGATTGAATCGAATAAAATGAACGAGAAAATTTGAATAAAAAATTGTTAATATCTGTTTTAGTCGTTTCAATCTGATGACACAAATCCGGTTTGGTTTCGTTCAATAATGACTGAAAATTTTATTTCGACGTTAATTCGTCATCCATGCGCGACATTAATTTTATAAAGTATCGATGGATCAATTAATCGTGGTTTTATCCTTTGTTTATAAATCATATCGTTTTTCCATTATAATTAGCGTAATAAATGCATTGCTGCGTTTAGTACAGAAATATTCGCAAATGAATTTTCCATTACATTTCATTATATATATCATTATGAAATTTCATTATGAAATTGAACATGTATATATATATATAAAACATATAATATGTGCAACTAATGGAAGTAAAACTATGATAACTCTCGGTTGACATTAATAACGCGCATCCTTCTCTGTTAAGGTCAAAAGACTCTGCGGAAGTATCCCGTGATGGTGTTCATTCATGGGGAGAGCTTTGAATGGAACAGCGGCAACCCTTACGACGGCACTATATTGGCAGCTTATGGCAACGTCGTCTTTGTCACTATCAACTTTCGCCTGGGCATCCTTGGTAAGTAGATTTAAAAACTCGAATAATTTTAAGAATTATAAGAATAAATCGTCAAATTTAATCATAATCAGATTATTTACCAGAAATTCTTGTTACAAAACGACGAGCAACAAAGAATCTCATTTTTTTTCATATTGCAAGTATTAATAAGTCATAAGCGAGTAGTATAGGTCAAGCACTTTCGCTACATTGAAGTTTATGTATTCGCGTAAAATTGAAGAAAGGTGAAAAGTTGAAAATAAGAGGCATATGTGCACGTTCGAGTCGAATACGAATACGGTACGTTCGATGCGAAATTTTGTTGAAAGTAGGTAAGGCGCAGGCCCTCGACTGACATCGTCTCGATACGAATTTATGAAATCTTGGCGAACGCCACCGGCGGCAGCGTTGCATGAAATCAGGAATTCTGCTTCATTAACGTTCGCGCTTCGCTGCGCCATCGGCTTTTTGATCTTCGACCAACTTCTTTTTATCCCTTCCTCTTTCTTTCTTTCTCTCTCCCTCTCTTTCTCTTTTTCTATCTATCGATCCATCATCTCGCAGCCGGGACAACCGCCATCGCCTCCCGATATCTCTCGCGATCCGTCCGCATAAATAACGAGATCTTAGAACGCTACTTCCCAACAACTTCCTGCACAATTTTTATTTTAACCGCAAAACCGATCTTTCTCTCTCTCAGTTCGATTAATTTCCCGAGCGGATCCGAAAAGGTTTCTTATAAAACCGAACGTAAAACTCCCTATCTCGATACTTTTTTATTGATATTAAAATTCACTGCCTCTCAGATTTCTAAAAAATATGGAGGCTGCTTGAAAATCGTCTACGCGATTTTTGAAAAATACCTTGAAAAATAAACAGAGAATACCGGATAAGACATTTTGATTAAAAAGAAGAACGTTGTAACGTTATTCGTCGCACGACGAAAATCAGATCGATACGTGGAGGTAAGAGATTCGCAGAGATTGAAGCCGAGGCGTAAAACATTCAAGTCCATCCAAGTTCCTAAACCGAGAAAAAGGAAAATTGTTCCGGGAGGAGGAAAAAAAAAAAGAACAATCTGCGGCGAAACAAAGGCGGCCTTTTTGCCCCCAAAACTTTCATCGATCCTTTTTTTCACCATTTTTCCTGTGGCCTGCTCCATATTTTTCCAACTCCCCACCCACCTCGTTCGCAGCTGCCCTATTCGCAACGAATAGAGGCTTCCGCCTATCCTTTTCCTAAAATAATAACGCGACCTCAGCGCGCGCGATGCAAATGGACGGACGTCGGTGAGCGCGAGATGCGCCGCCACATCCGACGAGTTTAGAGTTTGAAAGTTGGGAGAAAGAGATAAAAAGGAGCGAAAGAGAGAGAGAGAGAATGATGGCGGAGGAAAAAAACAAAGAAGCAATCGCGAAACCATAATCATAAATTAGGTTAAAGTGCTAGGGAAAGGCGTTTTAGTTAACTTCACCCTCTTCCCGTTGGATTAGTAGAGTTGGTTCGCGTTGGAGATCGGAATAACTTGAGCAAAACCTTTTGCGAAACAACGGGAGAAAAATATGGATAACGAGGATGCTCGCCCTAATAAAAAGGAGAAGATGCGCGTCCTGTGGCAAGCTTTACGTCTGTGGTTGATATCTCGGTGCAAGATGTAGGCCACCATGAATACAAATACTTCGTTCGAAAGAAATGTACTCTTTCGCTCAAAGATCTTAGTATATGTATAGTAACATGTCTACCAAGGAATTGAAAATTGCTTAGAAATTGTAATGTAACGATTTCATTTTGAAACGCGATGATTAAATTTCAAAATAATTAGAATTCATAATTTATTAATGGATGACGAGGATGCTCGAGTAAGAGGAGAAATTTACTTTACATCTCTATGTCTCGATGCAGAATGCAGCTATGAATGTAAACTGTTTCGCCGATATTTCTCTTTATGAAACAAATATACATTTTCGCTGAAACGTTTTAAAGAATTTAATATATCTATTATTAGAAATTACTTAGAGATTAAACGATTTTATCGATAATTAAATTTCGAGATATTCGTAATTCTAATTAAAGTGATTTCGATTGGATATACTTTTATTTATCTTTGTATCGTTCGTAGGTTTCTTGAGGCCCGGGATCAGGGACGACACAGCGAGCAATTTCGGTCTTCTGGATCAAATTGCGGCGCTTCTTTGGCTACGAGAGAACATCGCCGAGTTCGGCGGCGATCCGAACAGTATTACTCTGGTCGGCCACGGTACCGGTGCAATTTTTGCTAACCTGCTGCTTATCAGCCCTGTGGCTAATAAGAAAGGTAACGGTTATTGCCGCGTCGCGTGTTTGCGACTTTTGCGATCCCTGAATATTAAGAGAACACTTTCGTGGTGGAGAACACGTAACTTCCATTTTCGTGAAATCGATAAGAGCCCCGTGTTTAAACTTCGATTTTAGAACCTCGAAGTTTAAGCATCGCTTTTACCCGAGTCGATGGAGTTTGAGATAAATTCGAGACAAAATTTATTTAAACGCGATTTTACTCGAATGTAATTTTCTTAAGATAAAATAACATTTATAAACAACTCGTACAATCAGTAATTTGGTTAATTTTACAAATGCCAAGCAACGAAAAACAAAACGTCGAATTAAATTAAATAGAATTGAATTGGTTGACTCGACGTCTACGAGTCTCGTAAGTAGAATAGATCCTTTACGATCAGACATTCGAGATTCGAGACAAAATTTATTCAAACGCGATTTTATTCGAATGTAATTTTCCTAAGATAAAATAACATTTATAAACAACTCGTACAATCAGTAATTTGGTTAATTTTACAAATGCCAAGCAACGAAAAACAAAACGTCGAATTAAATTAAATAGAATTGAATTGGTTGACTCGTCGTCTACGAGTCTCGTAAGTAGAATAGATCCTTTACGATCAGACACTCGAGATTCGAAACAAAATTTATTCAAATGTGATTTTACTCGAATATAATTTTCTTAAGTTAAAATAAACAATTCGTACAATCAATAATTTGGTTAATTTTACAAATGCCAAGCAACGAAAAACAAAACGTCGAATTAAATTAAATAAAATTGAATTGGTTGACTCGTCTACGAGTCTCGTAAGTAGAATAGATCCTTTACTCGAGATTCGAGACAAAATTTATTCAAACGTGATTTTACTCGAATATAATTTTCTTAAGTTAAAATAAACAATTCGTACAATCAGTAATTTGGTTAATTTTACAAATGCCAAGCAACCAAAAACAAAACGTTGAATTAAATTAAATAAAATTGAATTGATTGATTCGATGTCTACGAGTCTCGTAAGTAGAATAGATCCTTTACGATCAGACACTCGAGATTCTTTCGTAACTCGAGATTACCATTAAAAATTGCGATAAAATCAAGTTTGACTGTACACGTTCCCTGAAGACACGTTGGATTTTCTTGTAAAGTCATCGGGGAAGAATAATCCTTTCTTGCAAGCAAGAAAGGATACGAGGAAACGTGGATACGACGATCATTTTTCAGCGGAGGTACAGGCCGAAGGGAATAGCACCTTGATATCCGATCAATAATTATACTGTAGAATGAAAAACTTAAGATTTGACGCGCGTGCAAGTAGCGCGATCTCGAGAGAGTCGGGCCATTAATCGTCTTTCCATCTTTCGCAGGTCTCTTCAGTCGAGCTATACTGATGTCCGGATCAGCGTTAAGCGCCGATGCTATCGGGAAAGCACCCTTGCAGATCACCAAACAGGTACATCAATCTCGAACGCGAAAACGAAAATTCTTGCTCACTGATAACTTTCTCATTTAACGCTTTCCCTTATCTAATTTTTTCCTATCATCTTTTTTTCATCCAAATCGTATAATCGTAAAAATTAAAAAAAGGACTATTACGTCGACTCACGTTGCGTGTTTACCACTAATTCTTGAATTTTAATAGGTATACGTGATTAGTAGTTCTCTTAGAACTGATAAAGCTTGAGTTCAATATGCGTAATTCTATCTGAAAAGAAAACGAGCGTGTTCAAGTTCCGATCTTGTATCAAAAGAAAGAAAAAAAAAAAATCGATATACAGCATTTACGCTTTAAAATGAAAACGAATCCTTTTTACTTTTCGAACGGAGCGTGTACGATCGGATCTCAATATCAGACGGCAATATGGAGAGGGATCGATAGAAGAAGAACATTGCAAGATTTCAAGCTCACAATGGATGATGGTTGAGCCGTGAAAAGGGAAAGTACGATTTTACGCGAATCGACATTTGGCTTGTGGGGAGAATCGGAACGTTTCAATCCCGACGTGTCTGACATCTTGTCGACGGAAGATCGATATCGTGTTGCCCCTCGTGTGTAGGGGTAAACGAGCCGCGTTTCTGACCGCGTACGATCGCCTCGTATCCAGGGTGGAAGGACGTAAGGTCGCGCGGTTGCGATTCGAATATCGGCGGAAATATCTCTTTCTCTTTCTTTTTTTTCATCGCGAGCAGCAATTTCGTCGATGATTTCGACGTTGAGAGCATTCGTCGGGGGACGCGATAAAATGGTTGGAATCGTTCTTTTCAGGTGGCGCACGCCCTTCACTGCCCCACCACCACCGACAGCGATCTGGCAATATGTTTGCGCGGCCAAGACGTGGACACTCTGCTGAACGTGAAGATTCATAAACCGAATTACGTCCCTGCATTCGCTCCGTTGATCGACAACGCGGTCATTCCGGACAAGCCTTACAACTTGATGAAAAACCCTCAGTTCGACAGGTACATCGCGGAATATATGCTAATACGTCGAATATTTATTATTAGAGAAACTGTTTTAAAAGTCTCTTATATTACGATTGACGCGTTTGTGCGAGTTTCTACGTCCACGTATTTTTAATTTAATGATTTATCCGCGCAACGCAGTTCACTTTTTCGCATAATTGAAAATCCGACGATATGGAAATATATTTATTTATATTTACGATGTAATATTCTAGATATATAATTTAAATAACGAAAGAGCAAAGTAAATTTTGCTCGTTATCTTTTTTTTCAGAACAATTAATCTTTCTTTTTAATTAATTCGTTGATACTGCGCGCAGCTCGATAGCTGCTGTTTAAATGCATTTTTATCAAAGGATAAAAAAAAAAAAAAGAAAAATTCCATTATATCCGATATGTGTAAAAATGGTTGAATTCGAAAATTTATAGACGACTTTGAAACACTTTTGCGACGGCTTCGAAAAAGGTGTTGGAAAAACTTTTATTCAATCCTATTCGAGCGAAATTTTCGTCCATCTATCGTTTCAAAGTTACGACTTGGCCTAGTTGAATACGTAAAGAAGTAAATACGCGCAGCGGCGTAATATAAATTCAATATAGTCTAACGTGTGTTTAGAAAAATATGTTTCTCTTTTTTACTGTGGTAAAAGTATATATAAGTACGCCTCGTAAATTGGAGAAATACGCGAAAACTTCAAAGGAAAAAGAATGTGTTTGTAAACAGGTTCGATCTGATGTACGGCGTCACGGAATCGGAGAAGTATCACTTGTTGTCACCGGTGGATCTGATGCACGGGATGTCGGAAGGGCAGAGGGATGCGGTCCTGAAGGAACACGCCAAGGTACGTTTCGATTTCTTTCTTCGCTTAATTTTCTCGGCCGTTGGATCCGTCGGAATCCCGTTTCTTCCCGGAAGAAATTCGTGATTTATCGGGGAGAGAAATTGGTATACGCGTGGGAGGAACGGATAGGAATATTTGTACACGATATTGAACCGTGCGAAATTCAGCCGACGTGCCGATAACAAAGTGACGCGATATTTCTTGGTCGGCAGGCGACGCACGAGCTTGAAGCGGAATTAATCCTGTCCAAGATTCTGGAACAATACGGCGATTTCTCGCCAGGATTTCAGGGAGAGTACATGCTGAAGAATCGCGATCTCGTGCTCGAGGCTCTATCCGACAGCGGTACCGTCGCCCCGTTAATAATGGCCGCGAATTTGCACTCGAGGGCGAACCCGAACAGCTACATGTACGTCTTCGCGCATCCGAAAGCGACGCAGGAGTACTCTGGCGTAAGTAATCCTTTCGAATCCGCTAGTTCTACCTTCGTTCCTTCCTCTTCTCGATCAATCGCTCGATTGCGATAATAATGATAATAAATACTATTATTTACGTTTTTGCAAAATTAAAGGTAGGATAGGATCTCCACTCGACAAATCGAATCGTGCAAATCTTTCGTACAAAGATCGCAATCTTCGAGAGGAAAAATTCTGCGTTAAAAACTCGAGCGAATGCACAAGCTTTCCACGGAGTTGGATCGAAACTCCACGAAATCGCAATATGATAAAAGGTCCGCTCCCTATTCAAGAGTCGCGGTTCGATGGGTGATAACGGAACACTCTCCGGCTTGACGAATTCGGAATCCGGGTCGAGGACCCGGAAGAAGGCTGGTAGAAAATATTAAGGAAACTGTATAAATCCGAGGCGGGCCCCGTGGAAACTGGAGCACGTACGATTAGACGGTGTACTTTGCATTTTATTCATTTTCCGCCGGCAACGCGCGAGATTCCTTGGCGGAAACTGGTCTGAGGGAGCGTGACCTACTCTGACCAGGTTGGTCGGATAGAAAAATCCCGGCTGCGAAGACCCATTTGGACGCCGTCCAACTATTTTTATCGCCGCTGCGTACCGGCCTGTTACGCTCCACGTCCAAGAGTACAGTGACCGGGCCTGTGTCGTTAAATCGAACGTCACGTTTCCAACCTTGCTCGTCGTTACCTGTGGAATTTATGAACGACAAAAAGGAAACGTTCTCGACAGGAATTGATGCGGTAGCAATTTTACCACGACAACAAATTCGTGATTCCAGAATATTCTTTGACTCGAGTGGAACGACAAAAAGGAAACGTTCTCGACAGGAATATCGTTGCCACTGTGCTGGCAAAAGTGTCGGCAAATTCACGATATCTACGAGTATTGCTCTCAATTGGAATACCAATACTTTAACTTTTTTTTCGGATATATTTATTGCGTGTTTGTACGAATTTGACTCGATTGGTATCCGTTTGTATCAGATACATATATGCGCGTGTCTTTAAGAGAATTTTAAAAATGGCATCGATGCGGTAGCAATTTTACCACGACAACAAATTCGATTTGATTCCAGAATATTCTTTGATTCGAGTGGAACGACAAAAAGGAGACGTTCTCGACAGCAATATCGTAGCCACTGTGCTGGCAAAAGTGTCGGCAAATTCACGATATCTACGAGTATTGCTCTCAATTGGAATACCAATACCTTAACTTTTTTTTCGGATATATTTATTACGTGTTTGTACGAATTTGACTCGATTGGTATCCGTTTGTATCAGATACGTATATACGCGTGTCTTTAAAAGAATTTTAAAAACAATGGAAAACAAATTCGTGATTAATTCAAGAATATTATTTGACTCGAGTACTTGAAATCGTGCGATTGATCGATAAATATAGATTGTCAACAACAGGTGGAGCGAAGAAGTTGCAATAACGAGAATAATTCCCTTTTTCTCTTTTACGAGCGTAACAAAGCGTGTTACATCAAACATTCTTGCGTATTTGCAGCAACAACGCAAGTACACCGTGCACAGCGAAGAGTTGCCATATTTGCTGGGCGCTCCTCTCGATGGGTTGCGCGGCCGATACGATATCGGCGAAACGCTCTTCTCCGAGGCTATAATGAACTGGTGGTGCAGCTTCGCCTACATAGGGTAAGTTACTGCCACCTCTAAATAATAGAATAAATCGATCGAATTAATAAATTTAAGAATAACTTGGTCCAGAGTAACGATATCGGATACGATATTAAATCTCCTCTAAACATTCTGTTATTCCGCCCTCGTTTTCATCTCCCAGAGATTTCCCCCCGACATTGGATGAAATAAAACGGCGTAAAATGTTCAATAAAAATTATGATTCTCGCCAATCGCGGGAACGACCATTACGACCATTCACGCGACGAGAAACGAGCATCAGGGAGATTTAACAGGGTCGCGGTTAAATCTATTTGGAAAAATAATTACAAGTCTCGTGGGCTGGGTAGGTAGTAACCGGGAATGGTTAAACATAAATATTCAGGGACCCGTATAATTGAAAATCATGTTTGAGAGGGCGTCACTCTATTTTCCGTTGGCCGGCTGATAATGAATTTCCACAGGTTGAACTCAAAATTCCCCGTTGCAGTTTTATCCCGAGTTACCACGCTCTCGAATTATTTGTATAAAATTCTCAGAGATTTATCGTACAAAGCGGTCAAAGCGAAGTCGAGGTGAACGAGATGGGCGGGCATAGGTGAATGAAAACGACGGTTTCAACGCCGAATTTATTATTTAACGATAGAGTCGAACCAGCTTTCGAATTCGCTAATTTTAATCGGCGGTATAAACATATATTCGAACTTTGCGCCAATTTTCGTCGCTTGTTTCAGTCCATTTAACATCCTTTTTAACAATCATTTAAAAAATTTCAATCTCTCAAACGAAAGAAGTAACAAGTTTGCGTTTATTAATGGCATATAAGAAAATCGAAAAAAGAAAAATTGAAAACTATTAAATACGAAATTGTTTATCCGAAGAATTAAAAAATTTTGATAATTCTAGAAAATGGAAATAACAGATGATGATAAAATTTTAAATATTACAGATTTCATTCAACTCTCGCGTCCGCACTGTCGAATACCGCGAGAATCGTCAAATCTTGTTTATTTTTTTTCTTTTTTTTTTGTGATATCATTCTATCGATAGGAGACTCAATTCGTGGACCGTAAATCGCGATGACTAAAATGCACATCTGCTAAATGGAGCGCAATAATTAAAACGTAAGTTAAATGGACTAGTTCGGCCCGGTTCCCATTATTTACTATTCGAACGTGTTGTTGTTCCACAACTCATTGCGAAGCTTTGCGCGTGAAAAAAGTAGCGAAGAATCTTTTTTTTTTTTCTTTTTTTTACGTTTAATTTGATTAGCCCGAATATCAGAGAAAAAAAAGTGGCTTGGAAATTGGAAACCCTTAAACGAAGAAAGATGATTAAGCCTTTCCTTCCGTCGATCGTTTCCACCCGTCAAATACCCGAGAGCTGAATTTTATATCTAATTTCAGAATTTCTTCAAAGGGAATTTAGATTACCATCTTTAAGAGATGGATACCGTTCAAGTGCGGTTGATATCTCGAAAGTTTCAAAGTTTCTTTCTTTTTTCTTTTTTTTTTTTTTTTCCAAGTCTGTGGTATTTGATGTCGGTAACTGATGTACTCGAAAGGGGAGGGGGTGGGAAAAAATTCGAAAGAATGACGATACGATCCGATATATTTTCTCGAAACTAATTTAACATCCGAGTAATTTCGTTGCTAACCCAATCGAAAAGAAGCCCCATTTATTATCGGAAATAACCCGACAGAACAAGTTCGCGCAAAGAATGGACGTTGTAGAAAAATCTAAAAATTACTATACAACGGAAATGGAAACGTTGAACCGAGATAAAACGACGATCGATCCGAACGGGTGCCTTCAATTCGAACCTTGTTATCCCGGACACTGGTTATTGGTGAATTAACGATCCGACACGTCGGCCATTTTAATTTTCTCGATACGAGCAGATTACCTACATATACAAATTACCGGTACATTTCATTTCTGGGGGGAGGGAGGAGGAAGGGGGAGGGACAAACGTCGATTCCCTCCGGAATCCCGATGACCAATCGATTCCGATGTTTTATCTTCGGATAGCGGTGCGAAATTTCTCTCGTATTTCATCGCTCGCGTCACGAGATAATTTTCGCAAAACGAAAATTCCACCATCACGATATATACGCGCGTATCGCAGAGTCGTAAAGTCGTCCCTCTTCGTCTCTCGTTCGTTTCTCTCGTTCACTCCTCTATCCTCCCCCCTCCCCCGTCGATGATCCTCCCGCGTATCGATAGGGGAGGAGCATCTCTACCCGATTGTTCGGCTTCCTTGGAAACTACAGCCGAGTGAATCGACGACTATAACACTTTCAACGATTCTCCCCCCCCTCACCAAAACGGTGTCGCGCCTTTCCGTTCCAAGATTATCCTTTCATCCGGGGAGGATGATTCGTTTATGGATCAACCAGAGTAGAGTATCCACAAGATAACACCCGCGCCCATCTCTTCCCATCGGCGGGAGAACTCGAGATTTCCCCCCTCCACCCCTTTCTCTTTGATCGAGGCAAAATTGCATATGCATCGTGACACGACACCGAGAGAGAGATCACCGGAGGGAGGAGGGGGAGGGGAACTGGGTCGATCCAATTAAGCGAAACAAAGCTGTTTAATGCACGCGGTCGCAGCCGAAGTAAACGCCACGTGTGTGGCTCGTGACACCGGCTGATCGATATCGAGCGTGACACCGTGTCACGCCTCCTTCGAAGAATATATCTTGCATGGATGCCGCGATGCGTATTCGCGGTACGTGGGGCGTGGTTGTTTTATTTTACTTGGTCGGAGGAAAGAGGGGGTGGAACATTTGGTGGAACGGAATGGTTAACAGGATTGTTCCCTTCTTTCTTCGTTCGAAACAGATTTCATCGTTTGAATAGATATATCTGGCTCTGTCCGTGATCCGTTTCGAATATAAAAATATCGAATATAAAATATTACGGACACAGGGAAGATTAATTTTTTGCCAATCTCGTGTATTTAATTCATCTTACATTCGAATTTAATGATTCACGTATATGTTTCTCCAGCTTTCTTCTTCGGCAAAAGATACGAAATTCGAAGGTGCGGAATGGAAAAGAGGAGGGGGAGGGGATAGATAGAATTTTTCGATTTAAATTGGAGGAGCGAGAATTCCCGACTGTTGATGATGTCCGATCTCGATTCAACGATCAGGTGGATTTTATGCTCGCGCTTCAGAGAATCGTAGAAGAAAAGGAAGGATGGGCCGTGAACGGTAAAATTGCGATCATAGTCGTTTGGAAGGGAGTGATGGCGTGTCGCCTGGGAATGGCCCCCTCTTTTTCCCTTTGAGATACCCGTTCCGAGCACAAGTTGGGGAGGAAAGCGCGAGTATCGCGTAGCAGAAACGGAGTAGAGTTATCGTGTATCAAAATTTCGATATTGGACTGGTTTTCCGATATCCGAGCGCGGATATACGATATCATTTTGCGAGCGTTGAAGCTCGAGCAGCTGGGAATGTCGCTTCGAACGATCCTTGCCTGGGACTTTATTGAAAACATCGCGGAATCGCAATTTTGGTTTTCATTCCGGTATTCGATTCCGATTGGACACCGAGAGAACGAGCCGCGAGCTTGTAATCCTCCGCGACAAAAATATTCGACGATCGCGGGTCAAAGGTATTTTATCCTACGATGCGCCATTCGAGAACGCTGTAAATTCGATGGAAATCTCGTATCGCGATTTTACGCGAATCGATCGAAGATCGTGTTTAAACTTGGTCGATATTGGGAGGAAAATATTTGCCTTCCTTTTTTTCTCCTTCTTCACAATTTTTGCAATAAATTATTAGGAATCCAAACGTGAAAGCAATCTCAAAGCGATATCCGTACATGAGGAATGGACTGAAGGAATTGAGCCAGTACGACATCGATTGGCCCGAGTACGATCCTCAGAATCAGAGGTACCTCAATCTTAGTAAGTTCTCAAGATTGTCTTGCCGGCGACCGACTACACCGACCACTGATTAAAGAAATATACGAATGGTAAATGAATATAGCGATTCCACCGAGCACGGGTATGCAGTACCGACTTGCTGAAATGCAATTCTGGAACGAGCATCTACCCAAAATGCTTCTTCATCCTGGCAAAGACATACCGTTGCCGATCCGACCGAAAGGGCCGAGACCGCAAATTCTCGACATCGCTGATGGGATTGGAAAGTATGCGAATGCGAGCAGGGATTATGACACGTACGGTTCCAGGTTGGTAACTTTTCATCATTGATTAATTCTCGAATCAATTCCTTCTCAAAAATTCAATGTACAGAGAGAGAGAGAGTACAAATATCATTTGCATCTTTTTCTTTTTTTTTGAACGTACACTTTCTTTTATACATTTCGTATCGTTCATTTACGACGACGATTTAAAAATTGATACGAAATTCATCTCTCGTTAAATATTGAAATATTATTGTGAAATATAGATGGCATTTTTAAGTAATAAAAACGCGGTTAAACGCGTTAATCCAGACGCGGCCATTGCTCTCCGCTAAAAGCATCGTCTCATTTCGAGAGGGAATGATTTGAATTATAAATTAGAGAGATCGAAAGATAAATCTGTCGCGAATATATATATATATATATATATATATATATCCTTTTCTAGAAATAATTCAATTTAATTCCGCCGCTCGTCCTACACGTATCGCACCGACGTTTAAACGTATCGTCTAATTAACGAGCGGGCTAACGACGCGACAATCATTGTTTATTTTAAACCGGGTGAAACGCGTGTTATTTATTCTCTCGTTGTCTCGTGAAAAATTCAGGTCCGGGGATCGATTGAAAAATTAAAAGCACTCATTTTCGTGCGGCGTTACGCGAGCCTCTGTGTTTATCAAACCGTGCGCCCAACATTTAATGAAACGTCACTTGCACCGCGCCGCGTCCTGCTTCCTTATTTGTCCCCAACGTTTAAATTATTTCGCGCGCCGTTATTCGAACGGAATCCATTCAAAACGCAAGTACAAAGAGGCGAAAGATTTCGCTCCAGTTTCGCTCCAGGCTTAACTCATTAACATTCCGAGAGCAGCCCAGGATACCCACCACGGCCCCGCATTTTCCCCGAACAAACGAGCACACCATGATTTAATCCCTCGAAACAAGTAACCGGTTAAATTCCAACACCTTATCGAATTACTCGCAATCCCGTCTATGAATATCTGTACAAGGCCGTACAAATCTGAGAAACTAGCAAACTAAAGTTCAATCCAAACTCGCGTGTACTCCTGAAACGATACAAGTTTTCCCACCTCCTCCTCCTTCCTCCTTCGAGGAAGCTTCCCTGCAAACAACATCTGCAGTTCTCCCAACTTTCGCGTTCCCGCGTCTTTGCCTCACGCTCGTAAAAATTAACGTCTCCCTTTCTTCTCTGATTTATCGAGCGATTTAGCTAGCACCAGTTTTCCTTTTCTTTTTCTCTTTTTTTTTTTTCTCGAGTCGAATAAGCGTCTCGCGTTGCAGATTCAAGGAGGGGAGTCGAGGCGAGGCGGAGGAGATATCGACGACCACTGAGATCGCTACCTCCCCCCAATCGTCTGAGGAGGAAGCGATTCCACAGCCAAGCGCGCCCAAGAGTTCTTCCGTGATCGCTATGCTGACGGGTTTCGGCGCGTTATTCTTGCTGATCAACTTCACGGCGTGCCTCTACCTGTACTGCAAGAAGCAGGAGACGAAGATGAAGGGGACAGGGGTGAAGAGGCGGGCGAGCCAGAAGGAAGGGAAGTCGGACAAGTACGAGAACCATTACGGGGAGCTTGGTTACAAGAGCGACAGTAAACCGGATCTGAACGACGTGATAAAGAACGACAAGGCGTACGACAACAACTCGAACTTCGGCAGGCGGTCGAAATTGTCGAGGCAGAGTTCCGGATCCACCATAGACACCCACATCAAGGTTAGGGAGTGGATACAACAGGAGATAGTGCACAGGTAGGTTGTCGGTTTCGAGCGATCGGGTCCGAAAACCGGCCTCTCCCCTTTTCTCCCAGTTTCGCAACGACGTCGAGGAGTTAATTAATCCAATCGAGTTGGGCTCGCTCCCGGAGACTTTGATGTTTCGCTGATTCATCGGAATCAATGTCTCGGCTACGCCCTCGATTTCGACCCTCCATTTCGACCCTCGATTCCGCGTCGTTGAAATTCACTTTAATCACGGAGATCGATAGAGATCGATCGGTGAACACTTTGGACCGAGTTTCTTCTTCGAGTTGAACGAGTCGCTCCTCTGTTCCTTGAAATTGGAGAGCTGTGCACAGTTTTCCAACTTCTCTCTCTCGTTCCGTCTGTCCATTACTTATTTCGCTCGTCTCTTTCTTTGCCGATTTATCATCAATTAATCTCTACGCGTCGTCTCAATCTCCGAAAGCGTCCATCTTTTTTTTTTTTTTTTTTTTTACTTGGCTAAAATATTTTGTTGGAAAAGGTGTTCCCCCAGGTTTCTCAGGAAGACGCGCGAAACGTTGCAAAAGGAGCATGAGGACAAATTGACGAAACAACAACAGCAACAAGAAGCGGAGAAGAAAAGGTTGGAGGAGGAGCTGTCGAAGGAGAGGAAGGAGGAGGCGAGGTACGATAAAGATCCGACTCTGATCGTACGTCCTGGCAAGAAATCAAAGGTCCCGAAGGTATCGGTGGCCATCGACGCCACACCCGCGGCAAGAACCGAATCGATCCTGAACCAGATGCCTATCGAGCTGGCGAAGGGCGTCGAGGCGGGCCTCGACCCGTTCAACAAGAGTATCGATTATCCGATGATCGATCCCAGCCAGTTGCAAACAGCTCCTCAGGTGGTTGTCATAGAGCACCATCACTCGAAAAGCGATCCGTTACCGATGGAAAACGTGTTGAAGAGCGTGAAACCGAATTTCTCCACGCCGAGGATTTACGAATCCGATTCGGGGAGCACGAGCAGCCTCTACGCCAAGATTAACCCCAAGTTGAAATCCCGCTTGCCCCGCCCCGAATTGGCGGTGAATCGGGAAGGATCGGCGATGGATCAGACCGAGGATATTTACGTGAAAATGGGGCCCAAGTTGACTACGTTCGGTTCGCCACCACCCGCGGATACTTGCGGGGATATAAACGTAACCTGCAGGGAGTCCAGCCCGGAGGAGAGGGAATGCGTGAGCCCGGAAGAAGCCCTGAGGACCATCAAGAGGAGAAACTATCCCAAAGTTCTGCCAGACATCGAGAAAAGGCGATCCCTCCCGGCGCCCAGCAGCTTGTTCGCGTCCAAACAGGGCGCCGGTTCTTTGAAGGATTACAGAAGCGGATTCCACTCGTCTTCGTCGTCGTCCTCTCATCAACCCCCCCAACCCCCACCGAGGACGTTCGGCCCGTCCAAGAGCTTGGAGTTCGCCGAGGAGAGCGAGAATCAATCCGAAACGGAGACGATCGTTACTAATCTTCACGTTGGCCCGTTGCTCAGAAGGCAGGACTATTCGGCGAAGAACAATTCCGACCCGAGTATCATCGACTCTTTGGACGAAAGGATGGACAACAGGTCGAGCAGGGTGCAGGGCGGCGGTGGCAGCGTGGACACGATTTACTCGAGCAACGCGTGCCATCATCCCGGCCACGAAATCGGCCAACCGATTTTCCAGAGCGTGGGCAAGGACATAGGGAATCCGATCGCCTTGTTGCAGTCGGGTATCGGTAATCCTAACTGGTACAAATCAACTCCGACGGGGAACGGGGATATCTGTATAGGGACGGCGTCCTCGGAGCCCAGGATCACTATCAGAGAAGTGGAGAAACAGCCTCAATTCGGTGGCTCGAATTGGGACACGAGGATCCCAGGTACCGAGCCGAGAATCGTGATCACGCCTAGAGTCGGCAATCTTCTGGGACAGAATCAGAGCTTGAGCCGGGCGGTGGTGAATCTGTCGGGCACCGCTTCCGACCAGGGGCTCGACAGAGAAATTAAATCCCCGCACGAGTCGAGCAGATCCAATACCAGCTCGATCGAGCAACTGGAATCGGATTGCCCCCTAACCTCGTGCTCCTCCCCCGACTCCGGATCGCCGAGCGGCCAACCCGGCCAAGAGCCGCGAAAGGAGCCGCGAATAATAATCACGGCCAGGGACACGAAGGGTTCCTCCTCGTCCTCCTCGAGCTTGAAACAACCGAAGATCATCATCAAGCCTACGTCCAGCTTGCAGAGGAGCAGGGATCACAGGAATATTCCGAAAGTGTCGGCCATCCCGCCCCCGGAGCAGAGCTGCCAGAGCGTCGAGAGGGACAAGCCCTCGGGCGAGCAGAGGGAAAAGCCACCCTTGAAGGAGAAGCCGAAGATCACCAGGATACCCTCGTTCTCGAGGCGCGTGGAGGAGCCCTCGGGCGGAACCGAGAGGGCGGCCATCCCCTCGTACCCCGAGAAGGCGGAAATCGTGCACAGGGTGGAGGCGGTGGCCAGCGGCAAAGTGGTGAACGTGACCGTGGCTTGCGATGGGAAGTCGAGCATTCCTACGTTGCAACGGAAGGAGGGTGAAAAGTGTTCGAGCGTCGAGTCGGGGACCGGGCCCTTGAATACGGCCACAATCAAAAAGAAACCGGCCAGCAAAAAGTAAAAGGAAGTATCCGTCGTGCGCTTCTTCCACCATTGTTCAACTTCGGACCGTTACTTTCGGCTGAGTAGTTTTCTATGTTTCAAATCAACTATTCGGTCGTCCACTTGACGCTCTGATCCTTTGCCGACCAGGAAAGGGAAAGTAATTGGTTTCTTTCCTTCTTCTTTTTTTTCTTTTTTTTTTTTTGCCCGTCTAGGAAGAGAAGAGATTCGTAAAGGATAAAACAAAGGATACACAAGAGATATCTTATAGGGACCACGAAATTGAGATCCGAAGCGGTGTACGATACGAAGATCGTGATAAGATCGTGATGAGATCGAAGCGTGTTAATTTCTAACGATTTTTATTGTTTTTAAATAATTATTATTTGTAGTAGATGTAATTTTTTCTTTTGTACCATATTCGGGAATATTTGTCCAATCATTAAAACGAACAAAGTCAAGTAATAAACCGTTTGGAATAAAGCGTTTCTTTAACCTTTAGTCGTGTAATCGCAATCATCGTGCACAGTATTAATTTTATATAAACGATATGCCTATTAAACTAAGATCTAATCTACGTTAATTAAAATGATCTGTTATATTATTTAACACCGTATTTATTTACGTATATAAACACTAGTGACCATCGATTATTTTTTTAATCTCTCCAATTATTTTTCCGTGTTATAAATTGCTCTCTTAATTACTCTTATCTCGAACAAATATTTCCCTCTTTTTTTTTTTTCTTTTTCTTACCACGTTATCGAACGTCTGCGCTAGGTGCATGCACACGAGGCTTGAGGTAAATGATTTTCATACCGTTATAGGGCGGAGCAACGTGGGGTTGAAAGTGTTTCCCTGAGCTGGGTGTCGCGGCGAGTCTCTGGTTATCATTTTTCAGTACGCGGCTGGCGTACCATTTATCTTGCAACTTTATCTTTATCCACTGGAACTTTATTATTAAGTAAAACAAAGTCTATAAGTCACACAGCGTTGTCGGGAGAGATCTGGCCGCTGTCTGACGTAAGGGGTGTGCCGGCGAGAAGACTGCGGGATTGGAAACGACGTGAGAACGGAATCCAACGAGTAATGCGATTTCTCCTCGATCGACGAAAGAAAACCGAATGTTACTTTTTTATATGATTCTTTCCTCGGTTACATTTGTATAACGGCGGTGCCATTTATACGATGCGTGTAACGTAATTTTTCATAATAATAATTTTCCAAATACGTTAGAGAAGTGAAACAAACGTTCCGTAAATTGTTCGTTTCTTTCTTCGCATTTTTAGTATCTCTTCTGATATTGTAAAAAAAAAAAAGAAAAAAGAAAAACAGTAATTCGAAGGCGAATTCGAAATTTTATTCCGAATTGCGAAATAAAAGTGTAATCATTGAGTATTGTTCTCCCGTTATTAATTTTACGACCATCGTGTTTTTATACGTCGTGGTTAATACAATCCCTCGTGTTTTCTCTTTTATTCGATCGTACGCGTGTAACTATTTTTTTTTTTTGTTTTGTTTTGTTTTATTATACAGAACGAATTCGATCGATAAATCGAGGATGTTTGGATCGATATTCGATTGAAATGTCGTTTTGGCTGCCCGCGCGAGAATATTGTGTCATAAAATATATATTGCCATTGAAACAATGTGAATACAAGCGAATCGGTGATGTTTTAAGGACCCTTTATTGCGCGAACCGTGCAAATATCTCTTTGTCATATTTGTCCGGAAGATATATACGAGATGTTGGTTAAAATTCGCAGATATTTTTCCAAAGATCCAACGATGTTCGAAGAAATAGACACAAGAGAGTTACGCAACCGTGAATTCGTATTTCACGGTTGGTGAAAAAAAATTGAATAATCTTTTTCCAATGAAAAATTGGATCGTCGAAGGTGTACTAGCGTTATGTCTTCGCCGCGCTCGTTAAACTTTCAAAAAAAAAAAAAATGATCTGAAAATTCAAGTTTTTTGTCAACGATATTAACGTAGGTTTCAATAAAGGGAGGAGAAATTTACGCCGATATAGATTTATTCCGCGCAATTTATGCGATCTTCGATATACGGAATCCCTAGTTGTTCATCGTGTAACCTCTCATTCACGCAAAATTTCATCTCATCCCGACCGTTCGTTTTATGCAGAATATCTTGGAAACGAAGGCTAGACAGATCCCTCTTGCGCTTCCTCCGCTTTCCAAGACAGTCTCCTTCGAGTAGTTCGCTATATTCGGATAGCATAGAAAAGAAAATTTCACATTCCTATACGCACAGATTTATAGGTGAAAATAAATCGAAAATTTCGATGAAGAGATATATTCTTGGAGGGAATCAAATTTGAATTTTAGCCCGCTGGCAATAAAAAAATTGTCGAAGAAAAGTCGAACAAAGTATCGTAAGAATTGTTTTCGTGGAAAATATCTCGTTTTATTCCCTACGTTTCTTTTCGATCATCCCGTGTATCATGTTCGATTGTTTACCACGATACTCATAACTATAAAGAACAACGATCGAAGAGGAAGCGACGAAAGTTTAGCGCGCCGGTGGAATATCAAGTTTGGAGTATCGAAAGAGAGAGAGAGAGAGAGAGAGAGTAGGGGATGAACTCTCTCCCGATTTGCCGGACGGTGTAATGGCGTGGATTTGATAAATTCGCCGGACGTTTAATGGAAGATGGCACGTGGCTTTCACGAGGCAAGTTTCTGACCGCCGATAACGCGCAGTTATACCACCTTCGCCTCGAGGAAGATGAGGGACAGATTTCGAACTCCACTTTCCGAAATATTCGGATTTCGTCGCATATCTCAATATCGTCGCACAGATTTTCGAAAAGAAAGAGAAAAATAATAAATCACCTCAGCGATCTCTTGTAATTATCTTGCAAGGAGGACGGAGGGAAAAAAGTTAAGGTGGCGTCGAATCGATCGATCGATACTTTCTGATCAACTATTCTGAATAAATCGCGATCGACAACGCAAAGGAAACGCGATATCTATTGTCGAAACGATGCTTCTTTTCCTCCTTGAAGGTGTACCTAAGTCGCACGTACGTTGGATCGAGGAAAGAATATCCTAACGGATGCCAATTTGCATTGCTAAACGTCGTTTCAGATCCGATTCGCTCCCGGCTCCTTTTGCCTCGATGTTTGCACGCGCGGATATATGCATGCGCTCGCGCGCCACCGGCTCGAAATTGGCAAATTTCACGGTGGGGAAAAAAAAAAATCGCTTGTCACCGGTGCTTTTGTTAAATCATTTATAAAACGATAACGCTTTAGGGGTGAAAGGAGGAGAAGAGCCATTAGCTGGATAAACGAATTTTCCGGGACGCGTTTGAAAATAACGAGGGAAAACGGTTTTTCAACCGGTTTAATATTTTCCCCGTTTTGATTTCGAAAATATAAAAAAAAAAGAAGAAAAGAAGAAAGGAGAAAGAAAAAACGAAAAAAAATAAAAACCAAAGAAGAGAAAAGGAAAATGGAGAAAGAGAAATGGCTTGGGAGGAGATGAAATAGAATTTCTATTTTTCGAGAATAACGTACAGAATTGTATGATACGGTTTAAAGAATTGTTGTTATAACTTGCGGGTAAATATCGCGTGGATATTTTTTCGCGCTATAGATAAACTTTCAAAAAAAAAAAAAAAGAGAAGAAAAAATTAGTTAGTTTGAATAAAAAACACGGTTGAATTATAATACACTCGAAGAATTATGAGGAGCAATTGTATTCGACGCAAAAGCTTGCCCGAGATCGTAACTGTTATCCGTTTCACGGCCTATTTTACCACGTGAAACTAAAATCGACTTGCCGCCATTTCTAACAACCGGATTGCTCACTTTTTTCGAGATATAAGAATCGATGTGTACGAGTAGCAGAAAATCGTGTATAAATCGTGTATAACGAAGGAACATTCGTTCGTTCGTTCGTCTAGCGATTGGAAAGGGTTGACAATGGGGTCAGAGTGACGGGGGAAACAGGAAATGGCGAGAAGCGAAGCGAACGATTACCAAGCATTAGTTACGGTGCAACATAACCGTGGCATCTCTCCGGGCGCAGCAGTTTGGAAAGCGGTAATTGCAAGACAACTGTTGGCCCTTCGCCTGATCCACGGGGGTGGATCGGTGACAACGAGTGCTTACATCGTGGACGCGACATCGTGGAACCGTCGTCCAGTCAGCTGGACGAACACGCGATCTATCGTCCGCTTGAAACTGCTCGATGCAGTTTCGCGACTGATGAACGTTCAGCGGTCGAATCGTTCTCAGGGAGGAGAAAGAAGGAATGGGGAGCGGAATGAAGGAATTTGTGGCAATTTGGAATTTGATGGTTCAAAGTATGTGAATGGTTTGGGAGATGAATTCGGAGAGGATGTGTCGTCGATCAGTGACCAAGGAAAGGTAATGTGTAAGAAATTGTGAAACAAATGACGTTGCGAACGTTTCCTTTCTTTTCTCTTTCTTTTCTCACAGGATTAAATTTAAACGTTAAGTTATGTGCGATTATATTGGAGGACTTATTTAAAGAAAGAGAGAAAAAAAGCCACGGTAGAAGAAAACGGAAGTTCGGAAACGTTGCTTGTTGCAAGACGAGCAAGTTTCCGGATCCTCCTATAAATCCATAACGTTCTTAGGTTGACGTGGAAGACGCGTATCATGAATTATTCCGGTATTCTGGTTGCCCGAATTATTCATAAGAAAACAAATGTTGCTCGAGGTACTTGGTTCCATTCGGAGCCGGGACTTTGACTCGAGAGTCGCATCGCGAAAGAATCTATAAATCTTTCGTACGTCGATGACTCTTTAATTCGAGCGCAATTTCTCTTTCTTCGCAAGTTCCTCGATTTTCAAGTTGAAGAATACATTATCCATGAGGTTCTTTCTTTAAAATTTCTCCTTTCTAAAATTCATTTTTAATTTTACGCATAATCAAGCGGCCATATTGTTGCCCTTCAATCGAGTTAAAAATAAAAAAAATGCTTCGAACACTCGGCGAAATAATTTCTCAAACCACGTAGAACCCTTTGCAAAAGTTTAAAAAAATTTCGAATAAATTTACTTTAAGTAATTATTCATTGAAATGCTCGAACAACATTTATTCCTAGCTGTTATAATAGATCCGCTTTTCGTGCAATCCCGGCCGTTTGGCATTATTCCGATTATTATTATACGTTGAGCGATAAATTGTTGAAGCAACTCATCGAAATAAATTTATCCGTAACTTCAACTATTAAATTTTGCCCACGCGTAGAGACGAGGAGAGACAAGATGCGTTCCAGGAACACCATTTCAAGGTTGTCCGATCGCGTAAAGGAGATCCATTAAAATCATTCTGCGGTATAATCAGGGGCCTCGAAGTGCAAATCAGTCTCTAAATAGTCCACTAGTAGATCGACCTCCCGTTATCGTGTCCCGTGGCGGGTTTCGAGGCAGACTAGTAGGTAGTCTAATTCCCTGCCTTCAGGGTTGAACCAATTAATAAATTTGTACCGGTCGGCTGGCCACAGAACAGGCTTCTGTCTCCGCCTCTGCTTCAAGAGGTATCCATTGTTGTCGAGACAATGCCCGGCTACTTGCTAGTTAGACTACCTAACTGTCCGCGGTAACGATCGAGCGCTATGTCGGATTAATTAGA